GGGGGGGGGGGGTGAAGCAAAAAGAGAAGTCATCATAATTAATGAATGTCATAATTAACCCTAATTATGTATGATTGTTACTCCTGCGGGAGTCACAATGAATAAATTATTCCCCAGTGAAGTCAGGCGGAGCCCAGACTCCTGGCGCTGAAGGGGGTGGGGGGAGAACGCAGCTCACATTCAACGCCTCCCCCCACCTCTAATCTGTCCGCTCCCTCCCCAAGTTCCAGGTTTTCGCTACTGACCCGCAAGAAGTTCTGCGGGAGCAACCTGAGCGGGCTGGGGATGAGGAGAGAAGCGGCTGTGTCAAGGGTGCTCCCTGCCCCCTCCCCAGACTTCAGGCTGAGACCTCACTCCCTGTCCCTTCCACCAGGAGTTTTGTTCTCACTCTGCTCCTGTCCTCCAGATGAGGAGGGGGACAGGGAAAACCAGAAATGGGTGGGGTCTTTGGCTCCCCCTGGTATCACTTGCTCATCTACAGCTCTTTCCAATGTCCATCTTCCTCCTCATTCTGTCTTGACCATCCCCCAAGATATGAGGTTAATTCAAGGTCAAGGTCATCAAGGGAGTGACCAGGGGGAGATAAGTAGGACCAGGGTGGGGTCTGGCTGAGACACTCCAGCTACCTCCCCATCCCTAAACCAGAGGGACCCAGTGGGTCTCCATGTACAGGTCTCCAGATCCGCACTTGACCTTCTCCTGGCCCCTTCAGAGAATGAGCCCCTGGGGTCTCAGACAACAGAGTCAACTCCCCCTCAGAGAGCCAAGTCTCTACTGGGAAAGACTTGTTGGGATGGGAGGTTATTGCTTGGCAGTCGTGACAGCTTCTTTCAAGCAGAGGGTCCCAAGAGCTGAGCCCCATCCTAATTTCCAATGCCCCTGACCTTCTCAGTTGCTCTCTAGTTGCCCTAGACAGACATACACAATCCCCCTGCTTGCTTCCCAGAGGCTTGGGGGCATCCCAGGCCCTGCTCTGCTTCCCACGCCAAGGCCTGACCTCTCTGCCCCCTCCTTAAGAGCTCTCCGAAAGCAGGCAGGAGCTGGGCAGTGCTGCCTTAGCAATCAGCAGGCTGCAAGCTCAGCTGTGTGGGGAGGGCGAGGTCAGAGCCTGGCAGTTCTGTACCTCTCTCCCCCCAGCCCAAGGGCCCTGCAGTGCCATCACCTCTGGGTCTGGAGATCCAAGGAGCAGGGGAGGAGGGGGATGCACACCTGACCTGGCTCCTCTGTGCCAGGCCAGTTGGAGCCCTGCCCCTTTGCCGCTCTCCCCCCAGCCTTGTGAAGGACTCAGTAATAACAATACAGGCCGACCTGGGGTCTGGGAGGGTGGTACTCAGGATGGCAGAGGAGGGGAGAGAGAGAATTCAGGGCCCTTGCCAGCCTCCTTTCATGCCCCCACCTCAACCTGTTCCCAAAGAAGTCTCTGTCTCCAGACTGTAGGGGTGAGGGAGAGGGAAGGAAGTGGGTTGGTTGCTGCCCACCCAGCTCAGTTTGAGGCAGGTACAACAGAGGGGGCTGGTGCCCATCAGGCAATGAAGCCAATATTCTAGGCTTATTCATCAGCGTTTGGGGCCCCGTGCGCATTTCTTGCCCGCCCATGTCCAGCCTCCTGCCCACCTTAAGGTTAGGGCTCACGCCTATAACCAAGCTACTCAGCGACCCTGCTAGTGTCGACATCGCCTTCTCTGCGTCCCCATCCCATCCTACCACATAGGGCCTGCCACCACCTGCTTTGGTGCCATCCTTGGGAAGACCCTGCCCTGCCAGCTCTGCCATCTGAGCTTGTGCCAGGTCTGCCACCACCCACCACCTGCTGCCTAGTGCCCTTTCCGGAGCTGGTGGGAAGTGAGGAGATGCTGTGGGGAACTGAGCAAAGAAGGGACTGTCCAGGAGAGATGGGGGGAGGCAGGCAGGCCAGGTCATGCCTCTGGGAGGGGATTCAGAAGAACAGGCCTGGTGGTCCAGGCTCTAAGCCAGACAAGCTCCTGGTGCATTGAAAGTGAATAGGATCCAGCTGGGCCAGCCTGCCAGGGTACATGGCAACTTCTCCTCATGCCAGGAAATGAGTCCTGGGACAGTGAGGGCACCAACAAATGGCTGGTGGGGATATGGGGAAAGATCCTCTCTGGGAACTAGGAATTCCAGGAGTGGGAATACCTGGCTAGGCTGAGCCAAAATGAGGTTTGGGTAGCTAAGCCAGATGTTGGAGGGGGCAGGCTTCAAGCCATTTGGCAGAGGTGCCCCCATCCTGCCCTCCAGCCACAGCCCTTGACATCTGCCAGCCACCCCAGGTGGCATGTTGTTCCTTCCTGCTTCTCTGCTCTCCTGGGATCTGGGGCCCACGCTGAGCCAGGAAGTTGGTGGGCAGAGTCGGGGCTGCCCTGGTGCTGGGGAACATTCTGTTCCAGAGGCCTCTGGTAGCCTGCAGAGGTGGCTCTTGGCACTGAGGCCGGGCGGGACCAGGAAACAGCACAGGCTGGAGAGTAGGGAGGCTTGAAATCTCATTCTGAGGATTACTATGGAAATAATGGCCTTGGGAGGAGGGGAACATGATTGATGTCTTCAAATATTTAAAGGACTGATGTGTAGAAGAGGGAGTAACCCATTCTGGAGCCAAGAGAGGAAAAAGAGCCGATAGGCAAAGATTGCAGGGAGGCAGGTTTCAGCTCTATATAGGGAAGCACTTTCCAGTGACTGCAGCTGCCCAAAGATGGAATGACTGTCCCAAGAGAGGGTGTGCTTCCGTCGCAAGAGGTGACCAATAGAGTCAGACAACCATTCAGAGGGGATGTGGCCAGGGCAGTGCAAGGTGAGAGGGCGGGCAGGGATTGCTCTAGGTGGCCAGGCTTTCAAGTTCCTTCTAACCCTAAACTTCCTGATTGACCTGGTGGACAAGCCCATGGCACAACTGAGGGGCAGAAGTGAAGGCCAAGGCAGGGCCCAGAGCAGCAGGATGCTTCTGGTCACTTGGGCTCAACAGCCAGAGCCACTGGTTTGAGTCCTGGTTCTGCCACTTACCAGCTGAGGACTCCTGATGAGTAAGTGATTTAACCCATGAGCCTCAGTCCCTCCTCTGACAAGTGAGGCAATAATTGTCACCACCTCGGAGGGTAGTGCCAGGATTAATGAGATGCCCCATATAAAGTGCCAACTCAATTCCAGTGCTCTGACAATGACAGCCCCTCATTATATCTGTAAGTTTATGGTTTTGCTTTTTGGACCAGAACCTTGTATTGCTTAGAGAGCATCTAGTCCTGACTCCTTCCTCTTGGATATGGGGAGACAGAGGCTCAGAGGGAGGACGTGAAGTGACTTGCCTTTAGGCAGCAGGCTTAGTTTTGCCCCCTACTCCCAGCGCATCCTCCCAGAGAACTCATGTGCTCTGTGCCCACAGCCCCTGGGCAGAACGGTAGGTGGTTCATCTGCTTCTCTGAGCCTATCAGAGCCCCCAGAGCCACAATCAGCCCACAGAACACATTTGTGTTCTAATTAATTGTGCCTCTGGCCCTCCACCTCTGCCCCAACACCCAGGCATCTGGGGCCTGGGACCTGGGGCCTTGTTTCTCACAGACACACAAAGAAGCCCACAGTGCTACCCAGGAAGCTAGATTTGGAAGGACCTGGGCAATTCAGCATGCCAGACACCCCAGGGCTCTGGCCTCTCAGCTGGCACACTGGGGCCTGCCTTGTTCCCAATTTCACTTCCGTCTCTGTTTCCCACTCTGTCTTTCCGCCTGCTGGCCTCCCCAGGGCTGGAGGGGCCAATATTTTCATCCCCTTGGCACAGTTGCCAGGCTGGCAGCCATGGCACACAGGCTTCCCGGTGTGCCAGCGGGGGACCCTGGCCAAGTCTCCCTGCCTGAAGCCAGGCCTCTGGCTCCCTTTTTCTATTGCTGGTGGAAAGGAGTGGGCAGGGGTAAGGGAGATCTCAACAGGAGGGGAGTGGGGCAAGGATCTGGGTAGAGAGGTTTCCAGACTTTACTCTGGGCGGACTCAAGAAGGGTGCATTCAGATGAGCAGTGGAAATAACTCTGGCCTCACTGCAAAATCCACCTGCACCCAAGAACTTGGGCTCCCTTTAGGATTCCAGCCCTTGCTCATCATTTATTCAACAAACATTGACTGAGCGCCTGTTATGTGTTGAGGCCCTGTGTGGAGATTTGAAGCAACTGTGTCTGCCCTCAAGGGGCTCACAGACTCGAGGGGAGTGAGAAGTAAATGGCAACATAAACTGATTGGAGCTAAAATGGAAGTAGGTACTGGGTATAGCGGGCCCCAGAGGACGGAGTGGTTCCTCTAAGTGGAATTCCTGCAGAGACAGCTCCTGAAGGAGGAAGAGGCATTGGAAACCCTGAAGGATAAAGAGGGTATTAATTGGATGAGGCAGAGAAGAGGACAATTACGTCAAAAGCTCAGAGGCACACAATACGGACGAGTTCAAGTCGTCATGTCTGGGCTGCAGGCCGAAGGCATGAGTTGGAAGGGCAGGTTTGGCCAAGTTGCAGAGTCTCATGGCTGGGGCAAGGGCCGTGGCTGGGTCCTGAGGAGCTATGAAAGGTTTTTAGTAGAATCAAGGATCACCTCCCCGGCAGCTGTATGGAGAGCATGTGGGGATGTTCGAGGCAGAGGCAAAGGTCTGTGGCCCTGAACCAAACTGAGGGTGCTGGGTCCTGAACAAGGGCAGGGCTGTGGAGGTGATTGTATGGGATGGGCTGGGGAGGTGTTTTGGAGGGAGAATCAGCCCTCCAATGGACCCATCCTGAGGGTCCAGGATGACCACTCCCCCATTCCCAGCCTGTTCAAGAACACAGGTGGAGGGGCCGGCCCAGTGGCATAGCGGTTAAGTGCGCGCGCTCTGCATTGGCGGCCCGGAGTTCGCAGGTTTGGATCCCGGGCATGCACTGATGCACCGCTTGTCGCCATGCTGTGGCAGCGTCCCATATAAAGTAGAAGAAGATGGGCACGGATGTTAGCCCAGGGCCAGTCTTCCTCAGCAAACAAGAGGAGGACTGGCATTGGATGTTAGCTCAGGGCTAATCTTCCTCACCAAAAAAAAAAAAAAAAGAACACAGGTGGAAAACTGGGGACCTGGTGTGTTTTGTTTGGCCCCCGGAGTATTATTTTTTTTAACTCGAGTAAATGGTACAGCTATACGATGAAATCAGTATAGCCATAAAAAAGAATGATGAAACTCTTTATGTATTGGTATAGAATGATTTCCAAGATTTACTGTTAAGTGAAAAATCAAGGCATAGGAAAAATAGTATACCATTTCTGCAAAGAAAAAGGGAAATAAAATCTCTTGAATTTGTTTCTATCCAATTTCATATAAAAGTCTAGATTTCTTTTGAAAAATTGGAAAACCTGGCAACAGTGGGCTGGCCATATGGGCTAGCCTCCATTGGCTAGAGGAAACCAGCCGCTGCTCCCTGGATGTCCAGTTTGCCACAGTCCCCACCACTCCTAATTATATGCCTACCCAGCCAGAACTCCTTTACTCATGGAGGTTACCTGCCTGGCTCCGTAGACATCTGGAATTGTGACCTACCTTCTGGAACTTGGCAGCCTCTCTCTTAGTACTACATCTCACCTCTGGCCCTCAGCCTTCAGGCTGCCGCTGACCGAGGAGATGTCCTGGAGGGGAGCCAGCCCCCTCTCGGCTTCTACTCACAGGCCCTCTTCCTCTCTCAGCTCCAGCGGTTCAAGCGCTCCTTCTCCCTCAAGACCATCCTGCGAAGTAAGAGTGCGGAGAACTTCCTCCTCCGCTCGGGCTCTGAGCTCAAGTGCCCCACCGAAGTGCTGCTGACGCCCCCAACCCCGCTGCCCCCCCCTTCCCCACCATCGGCACCCACAGACAGGGACCTGTCCACCCCAGCCCCCTCCCCCTGCCCAATCCCACGCCCCCTGGTGCCACTCAAACCAGTGAGGCTGCACAGCTTCCAGGAACACGTCTTCAAGCGAGCCAGCCCCTGTGAGCTGTGCCACCAGCTCATTGTGGGTAGGTGCCTGAGACCCTGAGGTGGCAAGGGGAGGGGCCAATGTGGGTGTTGGGGGTGGGCCCAGGGAACTGCCTGACAGTGGGCTCTGGCTATTCAGGGCCCCCAATCCTAACTGTGCCCCTCACCCTGGGTGGACAAATGAGCACCCTTGGCTGGGTGGGTGCCTAGTGTTGCTGTGTTTACTAACAACTCAGGCTTCAGTGCCAGTTCACACCCTGACTGTATGAGGGGTAGGCGCTGGGCTCCAAGGTTGGCATGAGGATGCCCAGCCCCCTGCCCTATCCCCATGCCCTAACCTGCCTCCTCTGCTCCTTGCTCATGAGTGTATCCCCTCTTGACCAACCCCTCTTGCCGAACCCAAATTCTTCCCAGGAAACTCCAAGCAGGGCTTGCGGTGTAAGACATGCAAAGTCAGCGTCCACCTCTGGTGCTCCGAGGAGATCTCCCACCAGCAATGCCCAGGCAAGACGGTGAGTGGGGACCATGTGGAGACGGCTGGCTGAGTGCTCCCAGGACTGGCATGTGGGGGAATGAGTGCCCCTCAAGGCTGGTTCCTGCTGTGGGGTGGTCCTTAGCCTTGGGCAAGGCAAGCTCTCCGTGGGCTGTGACATCCCCGTGCCCTCTCTCTGCCCCCTCTTGCCACAGTCCTCCTCCTTCCGCCGAAACTTCAGCTCCCCGCTCCTGGTGCATGAGCCGCCACCAGCCTGTGTCACAAGCAGAGAGTCCCCACCCACGGGTGAGTGTCCCCCGGTTGCCCCTGATCCCACTGTGGTGCCATGAGAAACCCACGCATTCCTCAGATGGGCACCAGAGTCACATGGCACTGCCAGTTCTTGGCACTGACTGCTACCTGGATGCTCCTGTCCCAAATGTCGGGTTCATTCATTCATTAATCCTTCAACAGACACTTTATACTGAACACCTACTAAGTGCCAGGCACGGTGCTAGACACGAGGACACAGCATTGAAGAAGGTGGAGTTCATGGTCTAGGCAGGGAGTTATCCATCTAGAAATGGATAATCACACAAACATCACTTAGTCACCATTTGGATGAATGCCTGAAGCGAGAAGGATAGGAAATAAAGAGAGGATAAAGCAGGCACTGTCCTCATTCAGAGACACGAAGGATGGGGAGTTACTCCCCCAAGGATCTGGGGAAGACTGGTGTGGGCAGAGGGTGGCCTGAGGCAGGAAGGGGCACAGAGTCAAAGAAAGGACGATGTGGCTGGGGCCGAGGGGGTGAGAGCGAGAAGGTGTAACGAGACCACAGGGGCAGAGCCTTGGGGCCCATTTTAGGATTGTTCTTTTGACTTTATTCTAAGGGCACCTTTTGTGTGTTTACAAGAGTATTCTGGCTGCTCTGTGGATTGGAGGGGCTGGTGCGGAAGCAGGGAGACCAGTTGCGAGGCCGGGACAGTTGCCGAGAGAGTTTGGTCACTTGGACCAGGCTGGTAGCAGTGGAGATGGAGAGAAGTGGGCAGATTCTAGAAATGTTTGGGAGGTAGGACTAGGTGATGGAGTGAATATGGACAGTGAGGAGAGCAAAGGGTCAAGGCTGCTCCAGGTTTCTGCATGGGCACCATGGGAGGACGTGGAGCTCTCACTGGGAAGAGGAAGACTTCAGAGAGGCAAGTGGGGGAGGTGGGGAGTTCAGCCTAGGTCATGCTGAGCTGGGGAGCCGGGGGGGTGGAGGGAGCCAGGGCCAGAGATATGGGGCTTCAGGGCAGAGCAAGGCTGGCAGCTGGCTGCCTGCCCTTGAGGGTGGATCCTCGGCAGGGGCCAGTGGGAAGGTGGACCCCGTCTACGAGACCCTGCGCTATGGCACCTCCTTGGCACTGATGAACCGCTCCAGCTTCAGCAGCACCTCTGAGTCCCCCACGCGGAGCCTGGTATGGTGGGCACCAAAGGAGAGCCTTGGGGGCAGGGGTCTCTGAGGGTGAGGGTCCAGGTGCTGAGCCGTTCCCCCCCTCTGTCCCCAGAGTGAGCTGACCGAGGATGGGGAAGGCAGCATCCGCAGCTCAGAAGAGGGCCCTGGTGACAGTGGTGAGTGGGGGTGGGGACCAAAGGGCAGGAATGGAGCACAATGCAAGCAGCTCCCTGCTGCCTCACACCCTGGCCCCACCCTGGCATCTCCAGTGTTCACAGCCCCGGCCGAGAGCGAAGGGTCAGGAGCAGAGGAGAAGAGCCCTGGACAGCAGGTGAGATGATGCTGGCACTGAGTCCCCGCAGGCCAGGTGGGAAGGGGATGTCGCTTCTCCTTGTCCCTGGTCCATAGGTGGGTGAGAGCATGGTGAGTGGAGGTGGGGACAGGCAATGCCAGGGGGAGTAGGCATGAGGGGGGAAGTCCCCTCCCACCACTGACCTAATGCCTATTTTGCCCACTCCTGCTCCCCCAAGGGTGGGCAGTTCTAGGGTGCAGCAGGCAAAGGAGTATCCCCCTTCTGCATCTCTGGTCCGGTGTCCCCAGGGGTGTGTGAGCACAGCAGGTAGGAGAGTCTGACCTCTCCCTGTCACTGACCCCGGAGCACTGTGTCCCACCTCCTAGCCCCCCACAGTAGGCAAGGTCAGGGCAAGTGGATAGTAGTGGAATGAGGAGGATGTCGCCCTCCCATCACTGACCCAGAGCTTTTCCACAGCCCCCCAAACCCCCCCTGCGGAAAGATGTGGGGCCCATGTACTCTTACGTCGCGCTCTACAAGTTTCTGCCCCAGGAAAACAATGACCTGGCTCTACAGTAAGTCCTCTTTGTGGCCCAGCCCCCCTGGGAAGCTGCCTGGCTCCAACCTCAGGACTCTGTGCTCCCAGAGCTCGGAACATGAGTGTGAGGGGGAACTTCAGGAACCTTCTCCTCGCGTGCTTGAGGCTGCTGAGCCCAGAGAGAAGCCGGAGCCCAGAGTCCAAGAGTGATAGGTGCTGATGTCATGTCTCCTGCCCCCTGCCCGGGCTCTGTCCTGGAGAGAGTCTACCATACCTGTGGTCACACAGTATCATCTGAGGGCATCAAGACTCCTCCCTCAGCTGAGGGGGGCATGCAGGAGGTCTGGGGGCCCAGGACTGCTGTGACGCAGAGAGGGCAGGTCCCTCCTGGCCCACGTGCTACCCCAGCTCTCTCCTCCTAGGCCTGGAGACCGGATCATGCTGGTGGATGACTCTAACGAGGACTGGTGGAAGGTGACTTGGCAGGGTGGGGAGCAGAGGGACCCTGGTAGGCACCTCAGCAGACCCCCCTCTCGAGGGGTACTGCCCCACCTTCTCTACAGGCCCCAAAGATCTCCCCTTCTCCAGCCAGTGGCTTGGCCAAGCCTAAGACCAACCCTTGGGCCTTGCTCTCAGTTTGACCTTCCCTGCCTCAACCTTGTCCCTTTGCCCACCTCATGCCCTTCCCAGGCCAGAAGCCATCTGACCGGGGGCTTGAACAAAGAGAGCCCAGGGTCTGGAGGACGATGGCATTGGCTCTGAGTGGGCACTGGGTCTAGAGAAAGCGGTGGGGGTGGGGGTGGCACTGGTGCTCATTGCCGACCTCGTCCCCAGGGCAAGACTGGTGACCGGGTCGGCTTCTTCCCAGCCAATTTTGTGCAGCGGGTGAGGCCAGGCGAGAATGTTTGGCGCTGCTGCCAACCATTCTCCGGGAACAAGGAACAGGGCTACATGAGCCTCAAGGAGAATCAGGTGAGTGCCTGGGCCCTGCCCTGGCTGGGGAGGTGGGCATGGGAGAGGGGCAGCAGGGGCACTGGCTGGGCGAATGCCCTGGAGGAGGATGCTTGCAGCCTGGCAGCAGGAGGGAAGGCAGATTAGAAGCGGTGCGACTGCAGGGCCCTCCTGTCATCCCCTGCTGGGGACCTGGGGCTGGCGGCCAACATAGGCAGGGGGCTAGAGGCAGCTTGGAGGGGAGGAGTCTAGATTAGGAGTCTAGAGGCTTGAGTTCGAATGCTGGCTCTGCCTCTGGCTTGTTGTATAAACTCGGGCAAGTCCTTTTCCCTCTGTACCTGCTCTGTGAAATGGGAGTGGGGCCGGGCAAGACCAGCTGATCCCAAAGGTCAGCCTCAAAGTGCTGCTAAGTATCTGCTGATGTCCTGGTCTTGCTGCTGTGCCCTGATCTGCTCCTATCACCCCAGCTGAGGGCTCCATCCACATCTAATGCTGGTCCCATCATCCCCTGGGGTGGGCCCCCTGGGAACCATCAGCAGGACTTGGGGCCAGGGCTGCGAGCCGTGCCAGGCCTCAGCTCCATGTCTTTCTCCCTCAGATCTGTGTGGGCATGGGCAGGAGCAAGGATGCTGACGGCTTCATCCGCGTCAGCAGCGGCAAGAAGCGGGGCCTGGTGCCAGCCTATGCCCTGACTGAGATCTGAGAGGAGGCAAGAGGACCCAGATGCCACCCCTGCCCATGCCTGGCCCTCGCGTCTGGCCCCGGAGGGGGAGAAGGCATATGCCTACATTTTTCCTCCCTCCGCCTCTCTCCTAGGGGCCACTCACCATGGCTTGGGAGCCTTCTGCTTTGAGGAAGGTTTTATTTCTTGGGTGGGGTGCCCTGAGGGGGTTGCTCCTCTGGGACTTGGGGGTGGAGGAGGAGGAGAAAGTGAGGGAGAGTGGGGAAGTTCCAGGTAGGTCCACCCAGTGCCAGGCACCCCCAGTCCCGTTGCCATGCTGAGTCCAGCCCTGGGGGGTGTTCCTAGGGAACTTCCCTGCTGCTTCTTCCAGAGAGCCTTTCCGTGCCCACACCACCTTTGCATGCCTGACACCTCCCCTCTGCTTAGGTCTATGTGTGTGACCATGCGGCTGCCTCTTTGGAAGTGCGGCCTTGGGAAGGTCCTTCCTGGGTCCCTCAGCCCTCTGCCCTGGGCTGGGAGGGGTCTCAGGGCTGCGGGAGGGTCCTGAGTCCACCTCTTGGTCTCACCACCTCTGTCACTCCATCAATTCTCAGGAAAGTTCTGCAGGAATCTCTCCCATTACTTGAAACCTGGGCGGACAGAGGGGGGAAGGGCTGAGGTCCGGGGAGGGTGTGGCAAATCAGACTGTCCCCTCAGGTAGAACAGTCACCCCAGAGCAGCCTCACCTTACCCTTGTCCACTGGAAAAGGACACCCAAGAACAGCGTGAACACAGAAACCTGTCTGAGAACAAAAAACTGACTCATGCTTGGTTCAAAACAACCCCCATTTCCCTGTCAGGACTCTAAAAGCCCCCAGTGACAGGACCACCAGCCAGGGGAGACTGTGCTTCTCAGTTCCTGTCCAGGCCTCCCAGGCTCCCCCAGGAGCCCACCCTCAGGACTGACCTCACAATGGCCCTTCCTCACCCCTCTCACCAGGCTCTGTGGGGGACAGGGCTGCTGTTTCGGGGATCCATTTTCTGGCTGTACCTGCTCCCTTGTCTTGGACACAGAGCCCTGGGAGGAAGAGGGAGTGGGAGACAGACAAAGGTGGAACATCCTGTTTGGCCACCAGGAAAGGAAGGGGGTAGACACCCTGGGGGTGGGGTGGGCGCACATAAAGAGGACCCCCTCCCTTGCAGGTTGCTTTTCTCTGGTGCCAACCTCCCTCTCCCCCCAAGCTCAGAGCCTCCTCTTGTGCCCTTGATCATGCCAGCCAATGCCACCCCCCATCCTGGGCACAGTCACACCCTCCCATGTAAGGGGAGGGACACATCCTCCTCCTCACTGGCCCCTGCCCCACTTCTCCCCCGGCAGAGGGGGGGCTCAAGCCACACTGCCCTGTTTGCTGCCATGAGGCCCCCCCAGCAATGTCCCAGGGGCGGGCCCAATGCCCACTGTACATGAGGCTGCATGACGGGTCTGCTGGAGCACTGCCCAGCCCCCAGACCCCTAATTAAATGTTTCTTGTCCCAACCTCTCTGCTCTGTGTATCTGCTTGGGGTAGAGGAAGGAAAGGGGCGAGGAGTCTGGTGGGGGCTGAAGGTACTGAGAGGGGACAAGCTTGAGGCGGAAGAATCTGTTGATCTCTGAGAGGAGGGGTGTGGGGCTCACATTGCAGGGGTCCCCAAGCCTCCTCACTCACTTCCACCCAAGCAGCCTGAGACCAGGGGGATTTGGGAGGTGTTGGAGAGAAAGGCTGGGGAGAGCCGAACTGGAGAATGACGTGGAAAGGACCTGAGGAAGGAGGGTGGGAAGAGGTTTGGGGGCCGCATGAGGGAGAGAGGGTGGGACTGCGGTCACTTTCTGGGCCTACACCCACCTGAGTCGCGCAGGGGGCGGGCACCACCTCGGGACCACACACCCACGTTAGGACCCTTCCGCCCAACCAGCCGTGCTCGGGACTGGGGAGGCTCAGTACCCACCCGAGATCAGCCTCGCCCCCGCAGCCCCCCAAGCCCGAGGCAGAAACGCTGGCGGCGGGGACAGTCGCGGACAGTGGGGCCCTGAGATGACTCAATCACGCCCATCATCGGGAGCCTGGCACGAAGGGGGCCGGCGGCAGCACCCCTCCCGCCGCGGTGCCTGCCGCCCACCTGCCGGCAGAGCAGCCTCTTCCCCTCCGCCCGGCCGGCCGCGTCACCGCCACGGCAGCCACGTCCTGAGCTATTTATAGGCAGAGGGGAGCGCAGAGGGAGGGAGAGGCGGGCTGCGGGGGTGCCAGGGCACCGCCGGTGCTGCCTGCATGCAGAGGGGGCGAGGCCTGACCCTCCTGATACGCAACCGTCCGGTTCCGGCTTCCAGCCTCCCACCCCGGAAGCAAGGTAGGCCAGGTGGGACCAGACCCTGAGCTTTCTTCGAGCTCCTTCACCCAGGGAAGGCCCTAGAGCTTGGAGGGGAGGGTGGCGGGGAGCAGGAGGAGGATGACTCTCCCCTTCCTAGGGCCCCGATGGTGGGAGTCAAAAAAGCCATCACAAACCCAGTCCAAAGGTTTAAAGAGAGGAGAACTTGCATAAATAGGCACTTACTGTGCCCCAGGAACCATGCCAGGAACTGAATTGGTTTAATCCTCTCAATGACCCAGTGAGGAAAGTGGTGCTATCCGCTTTTCACAGATGAAGAAACTGAGGCAGAGATGTTAGGTGGCTTACCCAAGGTCATACAGATTATCCAGGCCAACCTTGCCCCTTTTATACATGGGGAAACTGAGGCCCAGAGTGAGCTAATAATCTGCCCACAGTCACCCAGCAAATTAGTGGTCCAGCCAGTCTCAGAAATCATGTCTCTTGGCTCCCAGTTTAGCTCTTTCCCCACCCTACCCTGGGTCCCTAGTGCCTTAAACCAACAAGATGGAAACAGAAACACCCTGAGATGCTGGGTGGGGTCTCCAGGGATCAAGACCCCACCCCGTTGGAGACAGTGAGAGCCTTGCAGCCAAGCTTTCTATAGACTCCACTTGTGTCTGCCACCAGCTGGCCTGGACCTCCGCCTCCTCCCCAGCCCATTTGCCGCACTGCTGAGCACAGCAGCTTTTTCTGGTGGCTGAACCACTGACAGCATGCTCACAGCCTGGGGGCTGGGAACAGCTGGTGCCCCCACTGTAGCCTCTGTCCTCCTCTGTGCCCAGTCTGGGGATGGCTGGGCCAGCAACACCACTGGCCTGGGGCAGAGGATGCCCAGGAAGCCACTGGTGGTGCCAACCCACCATTTGGCTCTGTTGTCTGACCCACATGTGCCCTCTATCTGCCCCACCTCCGCCTGAGCTTAACCTGTCATGTACTGTGTGGGCGTAAAAGTCACCCAGGCTTAGGGGACATGCAAAAAGAGGAGGAGTCTGGGAGCCAGAGACAGGAGGCCTAAAAGGGCAGAGAGATGGACGCCGGGGGAGGGAGGGGAAGACACAGCAGAGTGATCCCTCTGTGCAACCCCGCCTATCTTGCTAGTGCCACTCTCTTTGGCCCCTTCAGCCTTCTTCACCCTCCATCCTTAACCCCCTCCTCCCAGTGCTTGGGGCAAGCTGGGGGCATGAGGTGTACTTCCAGCCACAGCCCTCCCTGTGCTTTGTCTGAGCCAGCCTAGGCGGTCCCTCTCTCAGCCTCAGAGAGAGCACTGGGAAGGAGGCCAAGGACCCTGTAGCCCTCTCCAGCTCACAGCCTCGCAGCAGCAGCTGAGCTCAGTACCTCCACTGCAGCCCACTGAGTCACACCCTCCCACGTATGGAGAAATCAAAGGCGGGTGCTAGTGGTCATGCAACGCTGGGATTCTGGGGAGTCATTGGTCCCTCCTGGCCTCGGTTTCCTCCTCCAGAAAATGAAGAGTTGGACTTGCTCAGGGATTCTTTACCTGGGGGCCATGAACCTCTTTAAAGGGTATGCAGCATTACATGATGGGACCAGTTGAATGCTCTTGAAAAAATGGACACATCTTTTAATCAGAATTTCATAAGGCTCCAGGACCTGGAGGAGATCCAGCAGTTACTTTAGGGGATCTGCCTGCTAAAGGGGCCTCACAAGCACTGCCCTGGGAAGGAGTTGGAGGCCCATGGTGGAAAGAGGTAACCTCCAGGCCTGGGGTGAGCTTTAGAAAGAAGTGACTAAACCCAAGGCTTCCCAAGAGATAGGGCCCTACAACCCCATACCCTTTCCCTCCTTACTCCAAAAAAAAAAAAAAAAGAGGCGGTTTCCTACACCTGCAGTGACCTGTGAGAGAACAGCACCATCTCCTGGTCCAGGGTGGAAACTGGTTTCTGCGCTGCAGGCTCAGGACCCTGATTGAGGGTGCCATGCTCGGGTTACCTTATTCTCCTTCCTGTCGTCCCTCTACTGCCGAGAGGGGGTGGAGGTGGGTGGCTTTCGATGCCCTTCCTCCTCTGGTCCAGATCTGGGAAGGAGGTGTCCCATGCTCCAAGCTGGAAGCTTGGCCAAGGCCCTTCCCCTTCTAGGCCACAGAATCTCCACTTGGGATGACAAAGGATTGGAGCAGGAGCTAAAAGATAAAGTGCACACAGCCTGCTGCAGTGGCAGCAGGGACCCCCAGTCAGTGTCCTCTTACCCCAGGCTCTGGTGCACACGGGTGCTGGTGGAGCCCCTCTGGGCGTTTCTCCATGAGTCCGGGCTTCCCTGCCTTGGGCTACCCTTCTCCTCGACCCTGTCTAGAACTGGACGAGGACACTAGAGGCATAGCCAGAGAGGGGTCTGCTGCCCCCAAGACCACTTCAGCCTTGCCTTTCCCAGGCGGGTGCACACGGGAACATCTGCCTAGCACATCCCCTAAAGGCCCCCAATTGGCCTACGCATTGCTCACCCCAAAACAAGAGTTCCTCAGGAGAGGAATGGAGGGCAGGCAGGTAACCAGGACGGGCACGCCAGTGCTACCCAAGCACAGCACTAAAGGCAGCGGCCCCTTCTGTCCAACTTTCCTCCCCAACCGAGACCCCTCACCCTCTTGTATTAAGCTAGCTGACAACCCCTTCCACCTGGATATCTCAAACCGCCATCCACTCAGTACATCCAAAACTCAGCTCTTCTAGGTTCCTTCTCCTGATCCCCCAAGCCATCTCCTGCCCAGTCCTCCCAAGCTCAAGGCCTAAGGACCAAGCCAGACCTTTTCCTCAGCCCCCACAATCAATGTCTACAAAGTCCTGACTAGTTTACTTCCTAAACATCTTGAATCCATTTTCCCACCCCCAACGCTCAACATTAGTTCAAGTCATGTGAACCCAACTCGTCACTTCACCCGTTTTCTCATCTGCAAAATGGAGAAGGTAATAACCCTACTTTACAATGTCGTGAAGACTACAGAATCAATATGTCAATGCAAAGTGCCCAACAGTACTTGGCTCACAGAACAGATACTTTATTGACAAATTTATTGGTGGTTGTTACTACCAGTCAAGTGGCAAAATAAAACCTATTTCCCATTTGTAAAAAGGGATAGGAATTCACTAAGCAACTCACACTGGCTATGACAGGGTTTTGTATGTTACGTGCCTTTATTCCAATGTCTGCTGAGAAAAGCCTTTTCCTTTGTGCCCTACATGATGGGTATAACCCCCCAAAACCTCTGATAGGCCAGAAAATAAAAAAGGTTTAGAAATTGGGGTGCTCAAAACAGCTTCAGTTACACCACAATAAAGCTGTTTAAAGACAGCTCAGGGCCGGCCTGGTGGCGCAGCAGTTAAGTGCTCACACTCCACTTCGGCAGCCTGGGTTTGCAGGTTTGGATCCCCGGCGCGCACCCACGCACTGCTTGTCAAGCCATGCTTTGGCAGCGTCCCATATAGAGGAAGATGGGCACAGATGTTAGCCCAGGACCAATCTTCCTCAGCAAAAAAGGATTGGCATCTGATGTTAGCTCAGGGCTGATCTTCCTCACAGAAAAAAAAAAAAAAAGACACCTCAGTTAATAATCAGCAGTTGAAGTCGAGGTGTCATAGCTTCTGGACTGGTTGGTAGTAGTTGCAACCCCTGCTGTCTCGGAATTCTAGAGGTCTATTCAACCTTGGAAGTCAGTGCAGTTGAGAAGTGTAAACATACTATTTTCTGTCGCTTTTTAAACAATGTGACAACTTGTCACAACCATTGGTTCCCAACCAACATATGAGACCACTTCTGAGGTACCACTCATGCTCTGCTGTACAAGGGCAGTTTTGAAGCACAGTATTTTAGAGGCTTGGGTATAAGCCCTTCCCTCCCTCTCTTCAGAATAGGCCCCATACCCCACTAAAACAAGGTAAAAAACTTCTCTCCCATGGATAGAGGGGGCATGAGCCTCACCAGAGGCCAGGAGCCAAGGGAGAAATGAAACAGGGACCCAGGAGAGGGCCTGCATCCCAGTCCGCAGTGTGTGGTCAGTTCTGGCCCTTTAAATAGTGAAGACCCATCAAGCAGCCAGAAACTTTGGAAGAAGCAGATAGGTAGACAGATAAAGGCTCGTTTTATTTTATTGAATGATTGATCTATGGCATTGCCGAGGCCACTATATACAGACAAGAGAGGGGAAGCTTTATTTCTTGGTCTCTTCCTCCTTGGATAGAGTCTTGATGATTTCCTCCTTCTTGGCCTGGAGCCGCTCTTCACGGCGCTTGCGTGCTTCCTTGGTCTTAGACCTGCGGGCCTCAGCCTGGTCACTGAGTAATGGAAGAGAAAAGACGAGTCTGTTTGAGAATAGATGAGCTGCTGGGCAGAGAGAAGCACAGGCCCAGACCTCTCCCTTTGAGCCTAGACAGCTGGAGGAATGAGTTGCTGGGGCCACCAAGAGCTCCTACAACTAACCCAGTTTCTACCCCAACAGTGACGGGACGTGGTGCGTGGGTGTGTACCAGACAGAGAAGCATATACCTCTAACACAACAGCTGAATTCTGGACAGACTGCATGCAAGTCAAGATTAGGGATTAGCACATTTTACATGTCTCAGAAGAACCCTTAAAATAAAGGTCAAAGAACCTGCCTCCATGACACAGAGGCCAATTCCTGAAAAAACTTACGCCAGAAGCTTCTTGCGAGCCTTGTCTGCCTTCAGCTTGTGGATGTGTTCCATGAGAATCCGCTTGTTTTTGAACACGTTACCCTTCACTTTCAGATACAGGCTGTGATACCTGAAGGGTACGAGGAGCAGAGGTTCTGGTCAGCAATGGGATCAGAGGTTGGCCTGTGATGTGCTCCTCTACAAGGTCCCTAAGCGGGTAGGGCTCCTTTCCTCTCTCTTATTGCTGCAGGGACTACTTTCCCCCAAACCAAGACTTTTTGTGCAGTTTCTAGACCGAAGAACTCGCCTAGCAGATAAATTCAATTCTTAGCCTATCCTGAGGGTGTATGGGGGGATAAAAAACAGGAGAGAATGGAAGAACTTTCTTAGAAAGGCCTAAGATACACGGCTCCCTCCCCAAGGCCAATGAGACAGAGCTTGTGTCTGTGCAAAGCACAAGTCATCAAAGCGACAAATGGGTCTTGAGGAGCCCAGAAGAAGGGTGTGCTTACATGTGCCGGTCAATCTTCTTAGATTCACGGTATCTTCTAAGCAGCCGGCGCAGAATTCTCATCCTCCTCATCCAGGTTACCTTCTCAGGCATTCGAGCATTGGCAGTACCCTTTCGCTTACCTGTGGGGAAGATGAGTTAGGCCCACTGAAGTGCATCCAGGACTCAAGTCAGTTACTAGAGCCAGTTGACTGGTCACAATGATAGCCATCAATTTCTAAAACACTTTATAGGTCACTGAGTCATGTGCCAAATGCTTTATCTCATTTTAAGAAGCATTATTTCCATTTTACAGATGATGATCCCAAGTACTTAATATCTTTCATTTACTCAATTTTTAAGGAAGTACAAACAAGGCAATTATCCCCCATTCAGTCCACACAGAATGTGGATGTGACAGGGTATGCACCTAGGCAGTATGGTAAGCTGGAAAGGGCTTTAAAGGTGGTGTGACCTTCATCTCCCGAAATTATCCTGACCCTAGACAGTGGTTTTAGGATTTATTGAACAACATATTCAAGTTGCCAGCAGAATCCTTGGCATACTGTAGGTGCTCAATAAATGGGACCTCTTTCTACTGAGACCTTCTACTCCAACTCTAGTGTCAACTTTCTGATTTATTCAGAGAGAAAACACATCAAATACCTACAGAGTAAGAAAAGGGCTCAAGATGAGACAGAATGGGAAGAAAAAGATCTTGAATATATCTCAGTCTAGACTTAAAACATCTATTATTTCTTAAGTCTTAGAGAAAGGGGAAGAAAACACTTACCTATGCCCATATGCCTGCCCTTCCTGCGGGCCAAGGTATTTTTCCGGCATCGAGCCCGGGAATGGACAGTCACAGGCTTCCGGATGATCAGGCCATCTTTGATCAGCTTCCGGATCTGCTGACCTGGGAAACCATAATGCACGTGGTCAGTCAGCTGGGGCCTAGCCCCAAGAACGCTAGTCACAACCCAGAGTCCAAACAGGACAGGCCAGAGACATTGCTCACATCCCTGGCCCAGTGGCCTCAAAAGTGGTGGATATACTGAAACTTATATTTATTTTTTTGTAAACATTTCTACCCTTTTAGATGTTTTATAGCATACTATAAATATATATATTTGGAGATATGTGATTAAAATAGTGTACAGATGCAGCCTAGTCCTTCAGATTCTATCTTTCTGACCTATTAGCTACAGGCCTATAACAAGATTAGGATTTTTTTTTTTTAAGATTTTTTCAAGATTTTATTTTCATAGAGCAGTTTTAGGTTCACAGCAATATTAAGAGGAAGGTACAGAGATTTCCCATATATCTCCTGCCCCAACACATGCAAAACTTCCTTCATTATCAACATCCCCCACTACTGTGGTACATTTGTTACAACTGATGAACCTACACTGACACATCACAAGGATTAGGATTTTTGAGCACATTACAATGCCTCAAACCCAAACAGGTCAAGAACTTCTGTGATACTGAAAAAGATTCTTTGCCTGACCAAACTTTCGTCAATCTCCCAAACCTTCTGCTAGGCCCATCTGTGCACTTTCTTGTAAATTCTAGTTTTAGTAAGAACCCTGCTAAGTCACTTTAAGCAGAACCCCCTACCCTTGATGTCAGATCAGGTTTGTCATCACCCACCATTCCCCTGGTCATGTTTGATCACCCTGGCCTGTCATCAGCAAGAAACCTGATAGGTCAGGTTTCTTCTTAGGAATTTTCCATCTGCTGACCCCCACACCATGCTCCTTGGCTATAAACTCCTACTTGCCCTTGCTATATTTGGATTTGAGCCCCACTTCTCACCCACTGTAAAATCCCATTGCAGTGGTCCTTGTACCTATTGTAATGGTCCTGAATAAAGCCTGTCTTACCATCTTTAACACGTCACTGAGTACTTTTTTTCTGTAACAATATTATATGGAAGTAATGTGGCTACATTGATGCTATCTGCAGGACTGACATCTGTTTAACTGCCTTGAATAATTATATGCCAACAGGCCTCTACTCAAGTCTGAGGTCCCAGGTCTTTCAAATTCACCACTTCATTTCCTTGGCCATCTCTATACCCCAGTGCCTGTACTGTCTCTTCATAAATCTTTCACATAGCTATAAAACAGAATATCCACTCTAACAATTAATATAACATCGAGAGGTTCCACTAATTTCCATCCTGTCATTCTGGCAAACGACAGGAAGAGAACATCTGGCACCTCTCAACTTCTGTGACTCCTCCATTGTACAAGACCCCCAGACTATGAGCCTTCCTATGTTTAAGAGTCAACACAATTGTGTCATCTTTCATCTCATGAGGAGGAAGGGGTAGGGTAAAGAAGGAACACAGATCCTAAGAACTCACGGGAGTTGGCATTGGCGATTTCATTGGTCTCATTGGGGTCCAACCAGACCTTCTTTTTGCCACAGCGGAGGACGCTGGAGGCAAGTCTCTTCTGAAGCCTGAGCATACTGTGATAAACAAAAAACACCATCAGGCCCTGGAAGTCATTCCTGGGCAAGAATGAGCATCCCCAACAAGACCTGCCCTCCAAAGTCTTCTCAAGTTGCGAAACATAACACATTGGAAAGTGGATGTGAATATGCACTTGATATTAACGGCGAACACATCTCCCCTCACTAAGACTTTTGCCACCAGCACCACATCCTCACATTGAGAATCTTTCCTATATCAAGATCTTTGTTAAAGCCTTGGGCTGTGCGTTCCTGTAGGGGGCAACTGCCCACCCTGGGACGAAAACAAAATCCCAGCTATGCCTTAACCTCTCTGTGCCTCAGTTTTCTCCTCTGGAAAATGAGGCTAACGCATAAAATCAGGATGAAGTGGGGGCTTAGGTCTTTTCTGGTATCCAGCTCTAAAAACAAGTGTTTAACACGAAGAATCCGAGGCCAGTGGGCCTGATTTGCTAGTCTAGTCTAGGCATTTGCTACCTAGACTCATTTTCCTTGTCTTATCACAGTAATGAACTACGTTCGGCTAGCCTCAGAATCTCCTTCTGAGCGGTCTCCGGGGTGGAAGGCGTCAAAGTGCTAGGGGTCGCCTCACTCTCGGCAGTCGGAGGCCTGTCCTACGTCACACGGAAGCAGAGATCGCTTCGGATCCAGGTGAGCCCAGCAAGTAAAGGGGCCACCGCCTAGGCCCGGCCGCTGCCTCTCCTCTGCCCGCGTGGATCGCCCCCGGCCCGCGCGGGGCCCGCCTTCCCCCCGCCCGGAGTTCTCGGGACGCTCCCCACCCCCACCCTCTCGAGGCCGGGGCCTGGTGTGCTCCGGCCTACCCCAAGCTCCGACACCGGTCGCGTTAGCGCTGCCACCACCTCATCTCTCCCACCCGGAGACGCGGCACCGAGCCCGGCTGTCCTCCAGCAGCCCGGATCAAACAAGATCGGACACCCGCATGCCCTCACCTCATGGCTGCGGCCGCAGCTGCAAAAGGAAAGAACTCCGTCTGGCCAAGCTCCTCCCATTATCTGTGAGGGGGAGAGCCCATCCCCCACTCCGCTTTCGCCCGTATTCCCCTTTGGTCCTTTCATCTTCCACCACCCCAAACTTACTTATATCCTCTGTAAAGACCCGGGATAATAGAAGCCTAATATCGGGAATCGGCTTTAAACTTAAAAACATAGAAAATATACCCCTTCGGTAAGGCAAAGTGGTATAGTCCAACTTCCTACTAGGCACGCGTAGTAAGGGTACCCGATCACGTGGGTGGTGGCAGCCGGAAGTCAGGGTGGATTGCGCAGGCGAGATGAGGAGGTCTTGCTAGAGTGGCCTACTTCAAGCTGGCGTCCTGGATGCTTAGAAGGAAAGTTTTATTAGCGGAAAAAAAATGAGTGAATGAAGCAAGAGAGTATAATGAGGGCAGGTATCAGACAAAAGCAACCTTTTATTCACTCTCCCAGTAGATTGGGAGTCTCTGGAGTGCAGAACAGATCACTGAAGACATGTTTTTTGCACCACTATGATGCTTAATTAGTGCCTCAGTTTCCTCCTCTGTAAAGTGTACCTAATCCGAATTCCGTCGTCCAGTTGTGAAAATCACGTGAGTTAACGTTTGCAACTTGCTAAGGAATGCATTAGGACAAGCTCCTTGATGGCGGGAACCAGTCTTTTTGGCTCACATGGAGCTTTGCCCATAGTAAGCACTTGAAAAATAGTGTATTGGTTGAGTGAATGAATAGTTGTGAAAGTTAAAAGAAGAAATAAATAAATTCGAATAATGGGACCACTCATCATTCTTTCTTCCTGCTCTGGAGCACGCAATGCAAAAACCCAAGGAGAATATTCTGGGGTCCAAGAAACCCAGATCTGAGTTCTGGCTTCAACTCCTTGCTTGGCTCCAGCAGATCATCCCATGTCTATCATGTGAACTTTCCTGGCTGTTAAATAGAGCTGAGAAGGTCAAAAAGAGAGGAAGGGAAGCAAAATTTATGCCACTTCAGCACAACAACACAATTAGGGTCATCCTCATTTTATAGGTGAGTGAGGTAGCAGAAATTGAAAATCCAAATCTTTGTGACCACAAAACCCATGCCTTCTCTGTCATGCCAGGTTCTCTTGTGTCCAAGGGATAGATGGGAACCCCGCTCAGGGTTGGATCTGTTCAGGGAACAATGCTAATGTGCTTTATCCTCACTCTCCCTCAAAGTGATATGATCAGTTAGGCTGGCCATCTACTTGTTGCAGAACCCAGGGTGAGGAGGAGGAGTCAGTGTATTCCACAGTCTCTCTTTCAGCTGAACACACCAGGCTGGCCTTATTTTAGGGTCACTGAACCTGGTCAACTTCTCCATTCTACTTCTCTTCTCTCTGTGAAGCAGGGAAAGAGGTAGAGCCGGGAGGTAAGAGGTCCTGTCTTGACTGACCCCTGCACGGCACCTTACAGCATCTCCAAACACCCCAGCAATCCATCATTTAATTTCATTCTCCCTCATCCTCCTAATAATCTCAGGTGACAAAGACACCACAGTACCTGCAACCCGATTTCACAGGAGAGGTGTAGTGATTTGTCCAGGGCCACATGACCAGAAAGACCATTTGCCAAATTGGCACCGAGGTCTCTTGCCAGAATCCCCTACTCCTTTTCTCTCCAGAGATCATGGTGTATGGGGTCCAGGCCTTAGATATTTGTCCCCAAATCAAGGATAAATGAGGAGCAATTCTAGGACAAAGGTCATTAGATCTGATTGTAGCCAGTCTCTCCTCAGCTCTGCATTTCTTCCTCCTCTTTCCTCTCTCTTCCAAGGAACAGAGACCTCACCCAGCCCCACTCCTAGCCTTTTGGAAGGGCATGGGGGTGTCCAGCGGCTAGGACAGAAGGACTCCCGGGTCCCTGGGATTTCTTGGTGCTGTCTCTGTTGGGACTCCCTTTGGACACCCTCCCCAACCCAGCCTCAGCCTCAGCCTGGCCCGCACCACCATGTTGGACGCGGAGGGGCCTTCCTGTTTGGTTCAAGGCGGCCTGGACCCACACTGGGGAGAAAGGAGTTAAAGCCGGGTCCCAGGATCACCGGGACCGGGAAGTTCCGGTGACCCAAGCTGGAGTGGAATGGGGAGACCGGCTAGAAAGAGCGGTTTGGGAGCGAAGTGGGGGAGGTGCCAGCCATGCTAATCCGCGCCTCACCCCCATCAGCGCGTGGCAACCACTGGTAAACCGCACCCCCCTTTCCCAGCCCCAAGGCCGGTTTCTACTTCGCCCCCAGAGTGGGCCGCCCTCACCCTAGGCGAGTCGGAGGTCAGCGCTCGGCCCCCTCTAGAGCCAGGAAAGGCGTGCCTCCCTCCGGCTGCCCTCCCATTGTCTGTGCAGAGCTAGCGAAGGGGCTGCGAGGGGCGGGACCGGGGCGGGCGGAGGGAGGGAGGGAGGGGCGGGGGGAGATGCTGAGCCTTCAGGGGAGGAGGAGGCGGCGGCCGCAGAGGAGAGAGCGGGAGGAGGGAGAGAAGGCAGGAAGAGGGCAACCGAAGGCCTGGCCAGGTGGCTGGACCGGGTGCTGGCTGCGCTGCGCGGCTCTCGGTTCCGACGGCCTCTCTCATGCGCTGAGGGCGCCCGGCTGGGCCGGGCCGGCGGCCGGAGGGGAGGCTCCTCTCCATGGTCCAGAAGACCAGCATGTCCCGGGGCCCTTACCCACCATCCCAGGAGATCCCTATGGAGGTCTTCGACCCCAGCCCACAGGTGAGGCGTGGTGGCCGGGCCTGAGGGGAGGGGACCGCTCCCGCGTTGCTTGTGGGATCGGCTCGGGCGCCAGGGACGAAGGGGTTCTATGCCCGGCGCGAAGGGGAGAGGGGCGCCTGCGCGCCCCCCATCCCTGCCGGTCAATGATTGATGGGCGCTTGGCCCGGAGTTGGGCTGCGGTTTTGCGGAGCGGGAAGGGGGCGGTCTGGCTGCCTGTCACCCTCGCCTCCTCGTCTCCCCCGCGTCAGGGTCCCTGCTGTTCGGGTACTGGCTCCAGTGCGCTGAGAGTGGGGGTGTTGGTGGGGGGATCCGGAGGTTGAGGGAGGCTAGAGAGCGAGCTCCGGCAAAGGGGACGACGCAGAGCGCGCTCAGGGGCGCCGGGCGGGGGTGGGTGGGGTGGGGGTGGCACTGGGAGATGGCCAAGGCGATGGTCAGAGGGCGGTGCCAGCAGGCCTTTGGAGCCGCAGACACTGGCTCTCCAGGGTGGGGAAGGGGCCAGCCCCGGCCAGGTCCCCATCCCAGCCACCTCAGCTCCACCCCTGTATTGGACCAGCTCCCCTCCCCCAACACCCACGTTATCTCTCCCTCCCCACCCCACCCCCCAGCCCCGGAAAACGCCTCCAAAGTTTGGAAAGTTGGATGGATGCCAACTCAGTGTCCTGGAGAGGAAGCAGCTGTGTTACCTGGGGGAGGGGTCTGCTACCCTACCCCACTCTCACTTTTCCTGTGCCCCTGGTTTACCCCCAGGAAGGGGCATTCTTGGGTGTGGTTGGTGCCCATGGAGTGACCAGCGGGCGGGGGGGGGGGTGGTCGTGCCAGGGGATTTCTCTGGGATATTATGTCCTTTTCCAATCTGACAACACCCAAGGCTAGGATAGCATTAACTCTTTTCTTGCTGTGGCCAGCCTGGAGCAACTGTAACCACCATGATAATGTGGTTGATGGGCATGTAGGGGGGGGTCAGATCAGACCTAAAAATACCTCCTTTCTCCACCCCAGGCCCCTTGGAGCCTGGGAGGCAGCTGACTGGGGCCTTCGTTTCAGCTGTCCCTTGTCCCTCTGGGTGCCACTCCCTTTTCCTAGCCTGGGGTGGTGGTGGTGTGAAAGAGAGTCTGGGGCTCACTGAGAGATCCTCTTAAGTTCATAGGGATCGTCAATCCTAGAGGTTAGGTATATGTCTAGCTTGAGAGAAGGGAATGGGAGGGAGGATTCTTGAAGGCTTTCCAGGTGCCCTTCACTCCCATCTCTCCATCCTCCTTCTTGTACTCAGGCCCAAGGAACCAGAGCCCCTAGACTGTCGCGGCTTATCTAGCTTCTTTGGCAAAGAAACTCTAGGATGGAGGCTGGGGGCAGGGGCTTGGAGGGCCTGAATCCTCAGTTATTCCCCCCCTACTCTGGACTGGTCTGGGGCCAACATGTGTATGTGAGTTGAGGAGGGCAAAGAAGCAGCCCCCTTTACAGGAGGCCTGGAAATACCTGAATGCGTGGCTGCTTGAGAGGTCAGGCAGTGTCCACTCCACCCCAAGCCAGGAGCCCGGCCAGTGAGACTGAGCCCGCCTACCTTGGGGACCTGTGGGGGCTGTGTCCTAGACTTGTCTTGGGGCAGGCCCAAGGGGCATTTAGATTGACGTAGCCTGGTGGGTATCATGGGGAACAGGGTATGGGCAGTGGCAGCTGGGGGTTAGAGAGTGGAAGCTTGATCCCTCTTGCCCCCTTGGGGAGAGGTGTGACCACTGTGATGGTGAGGAGGGGGCTGAGAAAAAGTCCTGCCAGGGCGGGGGTGGGGACAGCTAAATCTGCCCCCATGGCACTGAGCCGGAGTTGGGGTTGGGTGTGTACTTTACAAATACACTTCTACACCCCCCACCACTCCCCGGAAATCTAGTTTTGGGTCTCCAAGAGCTGAGAGCTGCCACTCCCCTCCCCATTCTGCAAAAAACGAAAACCGAAGGCAAAGAGTTGGACACAGGGAGAAGCCAAGCTGGGCCCGCTTGGCGATTCCTCTTCTCTGGGGCCACTCAGCCCCGCTCTGCTCCGGCTGAGGGGGAGAGGGAAGGGGGACTTGCCCCAGCTCTCTCTGCCTGCCTGTCCCCCCAGCACTGCAGGCAGCTTCTCCCTTCCCCCGAGGCCTCTGCAGCCTGCCCAGCATCTTAATTAGCTTTGCTGCCTAATGAGCCTCCAGCTTGTCAGCGCCTCCCCCTTCCCAGCCTCTCTGATTTGGTTTGGGGGTTTCTGTGTGCTCTTCCCAGGGCTCTCCTGCACTGTCCCCCACCCCATGGCTGTGGTCTGGGCCCTCCCTCCCCCTTGGGCTGTACCATCTT